GAGTTCTTGTATGCTGAGTGAGATGTGAGGAACTACTAAAGGCTTTTCCACATTCTTTACATTCATAAGGCCTCTCTCCACTGTGAGTTCTTACATGTGTAGTGAGGCCTGAGGCATAACTAAAGGCTCTCCCACATTCCTTACACTTATAAGGCCTTACTCCACTGTGAGTTCTTACATGTAAAGTAAGAGATGAGGTCTGGCTAAAGGCTTTCCCACACTCCTTACATTTATAAGGCCTCTGTCCATTGTGAGTTCTTGTATGTGTATTGAGGTGTGATGACTGACTAAAGGTTTTCCCACATTCTTTACATTCATAAGGTCTCTCTCCACTGTGAGTTCTGATATGTGTAGTGAGGGCCGAGGCACAATTAAAGCCTTTCCCACATTCCTTACATTCATAAGGTTTATTTCCATTCTGAAATTTTTCTTTACATTCATGTTTACTATCTCTAACATGTCTCTGAAAGGATGAGACACTACAAAAATCTTTCCAGCATTTGTTACACTGATAGTGTTTCTTATATGGTTTCTCTCTAGCAAGAGTTCTCATAGAAGTGCTTTGGTTAGAGGGCAAACTGCAAGCTTCTCCACGTTCCTTAGACTGACAAGTATTGCGTCTCGTGAAGGATCTGATATGAAGCTTAAGTGATGAGTGTTCCATGAAGGCTTTTCCACAGTCACCACCTTCAAAAGGTTTTACTTCTGAATCATTTCTTTTCAGCACATTAAGATTTGAAATCTGGCTGAAGGTGTTTTCACACGGACTGCTTTCATTACTTCCATGGAGAATTTCTTCTGTACGCCTTCTGTTAAAGACAGGCAACATGCTGTTGGAAATAAATTTGTTTTCATTTTACCATTGGTGAACACTGTGAACGTGCATACTTTTTTAACTCGGAGTTGTCTCATTTTTCATACATTAAACCATTTAGCAGAAATATTACCGTTACTGCTAATATTTTTCTTGAATATGAAGCTTTCTGATAATTGTATACAAGTAAACTTATGTTTCAAATACTCAATATCCAAAGCTCATTTTTGAAAACGTTGTATTGTGGAAAGTCTCTAAACGTATACACACACACATATATTCACGTCATGTACCTTAGGACTTTCTCCTGAAGCACTGTTTTCTCTTGTTTGAATGAGACTCACCTCAAATGTTGCCCCTCGTTTTTAGGCTGATCTTCGCTGCCAAGCGATTCAAAGATTTCTCCTAACATGGATGACCAGCTATCATTATTCATGATTTGCGCTATTATACGTTCAATGTATAACTTTTCTCCATCAAGGTTTTGAGACTCTGACCAAGTGATTCAATGTGAAGTTCACAATATGAAACAAAAAGGAAAGGAATTATTAGGGGGAAAATGCTGCAGTGAATAAAGAACAACTCACACACATTTCACAGCATAAGAACATTGGCAATGGTTAAAAAGCCATTTACTAGGAAATACTTCCTGAGAGCTGAGAATGGTGGTGACATAAACATGTTTAATTAGGAGAGCTAAGTAGAAAGATATTGGACACAACACACATGTAATATTAAAAAAAAAAAAGGAGAAAGTATTTCTCCCATAACCACAGGTGTGAGGGGTTTGATAAAGTCAGAAAAGTAAGCTCAGGTATCTGTGAAGTTATCTCTCTCCTCCACCTGAAAGACACTTCTACCTGATTCAAATCTAATTCCCTCCATGCAGGACTGCTTCTTTAAATAATTACTGCTTTTCTAGTGCTCCCCAACAGAGTGGCCTGGATTAGTCCTATCTCCACTCTCATCAGATCATTCCCTTGCTTCTCTCGAAGAAACGGTGCTTATGGGGAAATATGTATCTGATAAGATGCTCATGGAGAAATGCATACCAGAAGGGAAGACAGTGTAGAGCAATGAACATTTCCCTGACACTGTGCCAGTACTTTGGTCTTCAGGGTTTCTGCAGATGAGCAGGTGTGAGTATATGTGTGGCAAAATAATCATTTCAAATTTGTAATAAACACAGTAAAACTCTTACATGGCCCCAAATCACAAATCAATCAGTCCCTTAAAGAAACCCCTGGAAACAATGCTTACACCTGCAACACTTAAAAGAGCCTCAAGGCTTTTAATCACAAGAGAACTGAAAACTCACTTCAATACACAGAATTTTATTTTTGTGCGTATTACAGATTTAACTGTACCCCCCAAAAAATATGTGTAGAAAATCCTAACCCCTATACCTGTGGTTGTAATTCCCTTTGGAAATGGGCTTTGTTACGTTAATGAGACAGTATCAATATAGGGTATGTCTTAAATCTATCTTCTGAGATACAAAAGAGATTAAACAAGCAAATCAGAAGCAGAGATGGGGTAAGATAGATGCCATGCCACATGAAGATCACCAAGGAGCCAAAAATAGAAAAGGGAGACAATGACCTTTCCCCAGAGACAGAAAGACTTCCCCTAGAGTCAGCACCCTGAATTTGGACTTATAGCCTCCTAAACTGTGAGAAAATAAATTTGTTTGTTAAAGTCACTCATTTGTGGTATCTCTGTTATACTAGCACTAGACAACTAAGACAATGGGGAAGAGAGAATATGTAAGCTACACAAAGCAGGCGACCATGCCTGTTTTTTGTATTCCAATTCCTCAGCTCCAATATTGGAACAAAGTTGATGAATACAATATTTTTGTTCACCAAAGGATTAAATAAAAAATGATGCCATTCTTACCTACTGAAGCCAGGTTTCTGAAGGTTTCCATCATCACATTTCTGTAGAGTTTCCTCTGAGCAAGGTCCAGCAAAGCCCACTCTTCTTGGGTAAAGACCACAGCCACATCCTCAAAGAGCACTGAGTCCTAAAACATCCCATACATTCCAGATCAGCAAGATACCCTGTACTCCAGTGTGTGCAAGAGGAAGGGTGAGGCTGACAGACCTGGGGAACTGAAAATTCATAGGGATATGACACAAGATTCTATGTTCTACCAAGGTCTAGTCTAGGGTATAGCCGCCAGCCCCTTCCCTTCACTAACTACATTCACTTCCTGACTGCATCTTGTCTGATAAGACTTTCAACACACTGAAATAATCTGTCCACAGTTTGATTGTGACCAATTCCAGTCTTCTTTCTTTACGGTCTAGAACAGTTGGAAAACATAGAAATTACAGAAATGCTCTAATTCAGATCTTCACTTTCTTCTCAACAATTTCAACTTCTTCCATAAGACCTACCAGAACACTCAACAAATCATGAAGCGCAAGGTGAAATCAGGATGAAGTATTAACAACTGGGAAATAATGAAGTACGGCAATTTTTCCTTTTGCCCTTCAGCCATGGGGATACCAGGAGCCAGCACAAAATGGCAACCAAAGGCCTTGAAGCAATATTTTCCTAAAGAACTCTAGGAGATCAAGAAGTGACAGTCTTACCTGCTGAAAAGAGAATAAAATTTTTCACATATCAGCCATTTACTTTTCCAAAACTCAGCAACTGTGCTATCATTCTCTCTCCTTTTCACAGAAACAGACAAAGGTACTTAAGTTAGAAAGCGCTCAGATATGAGACAGGAAACATGAGAATCCAGATCTTCCCACAATTCTCAAATTTCGAAACGTGATGCAACTATACACCAATCATTAGTGAGCACACCCCTCAACAAACATAAATATATATACATACACCCACACACAGTTATGACAAAGAGACCTACCACTACAGAAACCAGAATAGCACGCCCTTGTGTTTACTAACCAAGAAGAGGTTATGATTCCCATTTTGTAATGACAATGTAAAATGGCATGATGGCAGTATGTAACCGCCTCTAACTTCAAGAGGGGAAAGGAGTATCAAGATCACCATCAACAGCCCATGGCTGATTCCTATGAGGTCAGTCATGCCTCCACCCTCCAACCTTTCTACCAATACAGACATCAACTGTCCCTCCCGTAGCACTCTCTACTTCTCTGCTGGGTTTGATAATTTGTTGCAGTGACCACACAGAACTCACAAACAATACTCACGATTATGGGGTTTATTAAGGAAGTAACAGTTTACAATCCAGGTACAGAAATGCTCAGGATACAGTTCTTTGATCAAGACAGTGTCTTCCCAGCCATGTCCACAGGCATGCCTTTCACTGGTCCCTCAGCTCTGCCATACTCAGGCAAGTGTCACAAAGCTCTTTTAGTTCTGCTGATAAGTGCCAGGAGGCACCCCACACTGCCAGGAAGCCTCCTGCCCAAAGGTGCTCAGCTGTCTTGCTTCGTGGGTCAGTACATCCACTGCAACTGCCCTGTTCCATGTGCCAAGAAGCCCACCATAGCTCTCTCTCTGTCTCCTGGGTCTAGGAGGTCTCAGTGCAGGGATCTCGGGTCCAACAGATGCACTCCACTCCTAGCTAGACTCTCTTGGTGGTGGTAAGTCCTCCTTGCTCTGGGATTGACATCTTTGCTTTCTAATACTTTAAAGAGATCTTTTGCAGCAAAGTTGACCAAGGCAATGAGTCGTTTAATTTCTTGACTGCCACTTCCATGGGCGATGATTGTGTATCCAAGGAACATGAAATCCTTGACAACTTCCATCTTTTCTCCACTAATCATAGCATTGTTTCTTGGTCCAGTTGTGACTTTTGTTTTCTTTATGTTAAGGTGTAATCCATACTGAAGACTAGTCTTTGATGTTCATCAGTAAGTACTTCAAGTCCTCTTCACTTTCAGCAAGCAAGGTGGTGTCACCTGCATAACGCAGGTTGTTAAAGAGACTTCCTCCAAACCTGATGCCTCATTCTTCACATAATCCACTTCTCGGATTATTTGCTCACCATACAGATTGAATAAGCACAGTGAAAGGATATAATCCTGATGCACACCATTCCTGACTTCAAACCACATAGTATCCCCTTGTTCTGTTCGAACAACTGCTTCTTGGTCTGTGTACTGGTTTCTCAGGAGCACAACTAAGTGTTCTGGAATTCCCATTCTTTGCAATGTTATCCATAATTTGTTATGATCCACAGAGTCGAATGCCTTTGCATAGTCAATAAAACACAAGTTAACATCTTTCTGGTATTCTCTGTTTTCAGCATACTGACATCAGCATCACTATCCCTAGTTCCACGACCTCTTCCGAATCCAGCTTGAATTTCTGGCAGTTCCCTGTCTATGTACTGTTGCAACCACTTTTAAATGACCTTCAGCAAAATTTTACTTTGGTGTGATACAGGGTGCCAGCTCTAGGGGAAAGCTTTCTTTCTCTGTCAGCTCTGGAGGAAGGTACTTATCTCTTTGAGCTTCTGTTCCTCAGTGATCTTCATGTGGCTTGGCATCAGTCTTACCCCATCTCTGCTTCTTTTGCTTGCTTAATCTCTTTTGTAACTCAATAGAGAGTTGACTTAAGACAAACACTATACTAATACTGTCTCATTAACATAACAAAGACAGCCCATTCCCAAATGGGATTATAACCACAGACATAGAGGTTAGGATTTACCACACAATTTTCAGAACACAAATGAATCCAGAACAGATGATGTCACAACAAACTTTTAGCTAAAGCAACAATCGAGAAGTCTCCTCCACTGCAGGGGACCAAGTTACATATTTTAAAGTTATCAAAACCTCTAACGTTCATTATACAATATATTAACGATAAAACGTTCCATGAATGGAGCAACTATGATTTATAAAAGGTTGTGCAAAAGGTTTCTGACATACTAGCTCACTTGTATCTCATGACTCTCCTAATAAAATATTTCACAAATAACTAATAGCTAAGTTAGAGATAAGCAATCACATGCTCAAGGTTGCCAAATGGATTGTTGCTTAGCCAGGGTCAGAATACATGTCAATTTGTCTTTGAAGCCTAAACTCCTAACATTGCTGTTCCTATGCATACTAGTTTGATGGTATTTTGACTGTTATTCTCCAATAACACCTGGATGATCAACAACCCTGCTGGGCACTAGGGATAACAAAGGAAACGACCTATTTTATTCAGATAATGTGGAGCTCCTTCTTCTGACAAAGCCCTGTGTCTCCAGTAAGACTGTTTTCCTTCAGACCCTTACCTCTAGCTCCTTCATTTATTAAAATTGATTTAAGTATAGATACATCAGTCAGTGAACAAAACAAAAATATCCAGGTACACATGGACCATGATGTCTTTGTGTGTAGACAGTAAATAAAAAAATACACTCATCAAGTGGTGGTAAGTTCTATGGAAGATGCAGCAAAATGAGGGGATAAGGTGCAAGAAACACAGCATATTTATCTTTAGTGAGTTAGTGCAGAGAAAAACAAAATAACCATTTTAGAAAACATTAGCAAGTGAAACCTGGCTTGGTGAGGGGAAAAAGCACACTTTCAAGTCTAAAAACCTGGAAGAGGATTGTGACGATTTTGCAAACACTCATATAGATTTCACAAGTTATTCGACTTCAAAAGTACCAAGGGAGAGGTGCAGGAGTCCAAGGACTCCACTGACCTTCACCCCAGGAAAAGGAAGATACACTGCTTATACCCAGGAAAGAACAGGACATTAGCAATAGGGTAAACATACCAATCTGGGACACTGGGGAAAATAAAAGCAGCATAAGTTAGTAGTATGAAAATAAAGACCACAATAACGACACACACACAAATGAAGACTTCCAGTTTCTGGTCCAACATGTAAGAAGCTTGGACGTCATCACCCCCACCCTCAAAACAAGAAAAAGGCTGAACATACTGAACTCACAGAATTTAGGTCACAGGGAAAACTGCTGCCAGAAAACTGGAAGGATCCATAGGTAGATACGCAGAACCATACCAGAACAAAAACCTAGAAACAAAAACTACTGCTAAGATCAGTGTATCAGCATAGGAAAAGTTAAAATGTGACTGATGAATTGCTGGAGCCTGGGTGTGGCCAACCTTCAGGGTTAAAAGTACCGGGGGGACCCAATTTTAGGGAGACTCACAGAGTTTTTTGAGTTTTACCTCCAGGAACCCTATCACGTTCTCAGTGTGAAGATCAGAGAAAAATCTCCTTGTGCTTCCTTCCAGCAGGAGGAAGAGGAAAGTAACCATTTAGAAATTTCCCCAGAGCTCTCTGCTCTCTCTGACAAGGCCTGCCCTCAAGAGAACTGATTTTACTAGAGTCTAACTGGCCTGCAGTAGTGAAATACCCAACACCAGCCCCATCTAGGCTTCCTGCTTCACCAATGTAGAAGAGGGGCTAAGCAGAGAAGCACTTATACAGCTGCCCAGGGACACAGTCTCACTAAAGACAGACTTAATCATTGGACTATAGCATACTTCCTCTCTGCCGCATACCTTACCACCACATCAACAGGGCTTTTATATAATAATAGGATTACAACAGAAAGAATACCAAGTCTCAGACTTTATTTAAGAGGTTTCTAGAGAACCCAAACTCAACAGGAAAGACAAAAACAACATCAGGGAACATCTTGGCCTCTTACACCTCTAGCAAATCTTCAACACAGCCTAATGCTTACCAGATCAAGACAAAACCCCATGCTAAAGTCCTACTTACTTTAATTTCTTTTACTTAGTACATAATCTCCGGTTTTCCACAAAAAAAAACTATTAGGCATACTAAAGACCAAGGATGCGGGGGAGGCAGAACAAGCATCAGAATCATTCTAAGATATGGCAGAAATTTGGAATTATGAGTCTGGAAATGCCAAACAACTTTAATATGTTAGGGACACAAATAAACAATACAACATACAATACCAGATGGGTAACGTAAGCAGAG